GAGCAGAGGATACCTGAAGCGCTCTGTTGCCAGGGGGATATTTCCTGAGGCATGTAGGTTTAACTTAACGACTTTCTGATTAACCTTGTTCAAATGTAGAAACCCACATGGGAACAAAGAAAGATAAACATTTCATTAACAATTAAAAGTACTCTTTTGATAATTGCTTCTTTGAATAAAACATTCCAAAACCAGCCATAAACTCTGAAGCTGAAAAGGCAATTTCCATTTCTGTAATGTGCTTTCAATTTTTGGTAACACGTTACAATTGCACATTAATTGATGCTAAATTATAATGAAAACTGGCTGTAAAATTGCCTATTACATGCAGATTAACACCAAATGGGCCTGCTGTGGTTCATATTATTGTGGAAATGAACTAAAAAAATTAATGGGTATCAGTTAGTGTTCAGGGCAGAGTAGCTTTTGCCAAAGGCGGTGGGGCCTTGGTATTCAATTCCAAATCCCAGATGCAGCGTGGTGTCATCAGCTGTGACAACACTCAGTTGCGTTTTAGTTTATTATCAAATAAGCTGGGTACATTTTCCAGGCAAACACTGGTGAGCAGGTGCTGAGCATCAAGCCGGCTGGGGATGCACAAATTCATGGAACAGCAGCCTCGGCTAAAACTTTCCTAGGAGTTGTGGCCAAGAATATAAAACAACTGAGATATCCTTAATATCTAAAATAACCTAAATACCTTAAGATCTAAAATAACCTTAATATTAGATATCCTTCATCCTAAAACAGCTATCTGTAATATCTAAAATAGTAATATCCTTATATCTAAAATAACTTCAATGCCTATATTTCTGGTCTTCCCTCTTTATATTCACTAGCTTGAAAATTTTCTGCCATCACTGACAGTTGGTTATGATTTCTTAAATTATGTCATCTTCCTCCTCCCCTGTCTTCTGTGAGTGACAGATAGCTCAGGACTTGTGTGGCAGGAAGAATTTAGAGGAGGGACTTTCTCCAGGAAACTTCCCCCACAACTCTCAGGCTACAGCCGTGTTATGGGCCAAACTGGGACCCCTCCAAAAAATTCACTTGCTGAGAAACTCTGATCTCGAATACCTCAGCATGTGGCCTTCGGGGACAGGGTCTTCACAGAGGCAAAGAAGTTATTAAAATGACGGCCTTAGGGTGGCCCCAATCCGGCCTGACTGCGGTCCTTATACACAGAAGAGATCAGGACACAGACACACACAGAGGAATGACCTGTGAGGACACAGAGGAGACGCCATCTACACTCCGTGGAGACAGGCCCCAGAAGAACCACCACCTGGTCACCTATCCGCACCCCGATCTTGGACTTCCAGCCTCCAGAATGGTGAGAAAATAAATGTCTGTTATTTGAGCCACTCAGTCTCTGGCACTTTGTTAGCAGCCTTAGCAAACTGATTAATACACAGCTCAGGACGTTTGGTTGGTAGAGAAAAAGATCACATTTAAAGTAAAACAATCCAGATTTGAGAAAGAAAAACAAAACAGTGTGAAATACATGGGAAAACCTTTGTGGGATGGAACTGGCTGTGGCATCTCCCCATTTCTCTGGTGTCCAAAGATCTCAAATGTGTAAGCCTGTGGGATGTACCCCTTCAAAGCAAAATGGCCTGGGAACGATCCCCAGGGAGCCGACGGGGGTATTCCCTAGAGTCTCCTGGGTTCCAGTGTGTGCAAACATCACTCTACCCTCCCACAGGATGTGCAGGGACAGTGCTGGTCCCACGGGTTTAGTTACACAACCAGGAGCCTTGCTCTTTAACTTTGGGCAGTTTGTCTGTAGACCTCTATAGTATGGTATGGTACCTTGCCAAAACTTCCCTTCCCCAACATTTTGTGCAAGATAAAATCCTCGATTTTTAATTTCATATGTAGAGATGGTTTTTCTACGTTCAGTTCAGGTTCTGGATGATGGCACACTTTCTCCGTCTCCTCCGAGGGACACTCCCAGGAGATTCCCTGAGGCTCTGCAAATGGTAAGCCAGAGGTTAGAAGTAAAGCAGGAACAATGGAGGGGCATTCTAGCTACTTACAGAGCTCACTTTCTCTTCCACTTCCCATTCTGGGGCTCCACCTGCAAAAATGTGGGAAGTGGTTCCCTGCAGTGCAAAGGCAGGCCCCTCCCTGCCGGTGAGCCTGGTATTTGGGGCGCAGGCTCTGTCTGTTTCTCTGCCCAATAGACTGGGGAGAAATTTCATGTTAAGAGATATATTCTGATCAGCAAAAGACCATACATGCAAAACAGATGAGCACTTTTAGTAATGATATGAACAGAGTGATCTGAAACAAATATGAGCAAAAAGGCTTCTCAACTGCTCATGTGGCTCAGGGACACAGCGACATCAGTCCCTATGACTCCCCATGTGAGGGAAGAGCAGATGGACAGCAGACAAAGTCCGAACAGCATTATCCACCACAGGCCTCAGCCACGTTGCTGCTCCGGTCACCTCTGAGGTAGTCTCTTTCATTCCCTGGGGACCCCCTTCCTCAACCTTTTCTTCTGAAAAGCTGAAGTCAATGTATTCCTCAATACTTCGCCAGAGCTCTGAGTGAGCATCTGTGCTTTATCTGGATTTATTTTGTGCATCCTTAAGCAAAATGTCTTCTAAGATATCAGAAAAGCCTAAGACAGGTAATTTTTGGGTCTGGGAGTGCTCATAAGTTTTTCCCATGTAAAGTAATGGTGACCACGTCTCTACTTTATGCCCTTTCTGCTTACGAAATGTTTCCTGGGCGTGCTCTACTGCAGAGAGTGGAGGAAACCTGTATTTTATAATGTTGGCCGAAACTCCTATTCAGGTCCCAAATCATGGGGGCCTCTCTCTCATGAGCTACCTTCAAACAGTAGGCTGGATAAACTTCCAGAGGGTCACAACTGTTAAGGACTTTCAGCCTGAATTCCTCCCCTTTCTACTCTTCAACTTCCCAGAAAAGTCTCAAAGGTGCAGAGCAAGATGGCCTTTGGTGGCCTTCTCACCACTGCATTTTATGGTAGATTTGTTTCTGGAAAACCATTTAACAGTGACAGGAAGTAACACTCTAAAATTCTAAGGAAAAATTTGCTGTTACTCCCTCGAGGCCTATCGCCGCCTGACAAAGGCTTCCGACTCATGGGGTGTCTTCTCAGTTTCAGGTCTAAGAAGCAGAAGCCTCTCAGTTGGTGGGAAGTCTGTGATCTCCAAACAGAAGAGGATCACCTACCAGTCCAGGTCGAGATGGGGAATTTAACCCCAGAGGACTCAGGTTACGGTCAATGCAGATGAATTACTGACCCCGATTCTACCGTGGCTGGGATAGCTACCTCTTTTCCCCGGTGCTGGTATATATGGCAGCTGTGCTTCACCCTTCATGGAGCATGGGAGACCAATTTCCACTGGGCCTTCCCTGAAGATGTGTTCCGTATCTCTTAAGCAGCGAGCCTAGATTACAAACAGAGTCAGAATACCCAGATCCACCTGCTGCTGATGGGACAGCTCAGCTTGCTTTCCATGGGGATGAAAGCCATTTAGATCCTAGGTGTGTGAAATGACCAAAGGACTCCTTTCCCTCAGCACTCCCAAGGATCCATCTCCTGCGAGAGCCCACCTAGCATAGTTTATGTACCAAGGGAGCATACGTGCTTCCTGCATGCTTTCCCAGGGTCCCTGGGTTCCCTCGTTTATCTGCATCATCACCACAAATAAGAACATAAGGTCAATGGACAGGAAAACAGCTTGCAAGGCAATGCTGCATCCCACAGAGGACTTGTTCTTGGACCTTGGAATTCAGCATGCTAGTAAATGGCAAGGCAGATTGCCCTGATCTGTGCTCTGAGTGCATTCTAGAGATGAATCTAGCAAATAACTGCTTTCCCCAGGTATTCTATGTGGATGTAGCCTTCGTATGTAGGTATAAAGCTGGCAATGAATTTTCAATAATTTTAATGAATTTGTTTCTGCACATTCCGCAAGAACTTAAGATCTCTAAAGATCCATAGAATACAAATGCATTAAATAAGTAAATGTCTCAAAGGGGGTACATGGACTCTCAGATGAATGTCAGGGCAAGGCAAGTGGCCAGAAATAGATTTCATGGTGTTGCCTGAAGTTGCTGCAGCTCAGAGCAAAGGACGGGAGGAGTCCTCGCTGAGCTGAATGTTCGGAACTTAATCTAAGAGCCTTTCCTACCTGCTGAGTGCTCTCGATCATTGCCAGTGCTTCAGCCATTAGCTTCTGGTTTATGCCACAAAGGTTAGCCACCTTTGTCTGGCACTTGTGATGGACGTTCATGCCACATGCTGAAAGGAAGAATGCAACATGGTGAGCAAACGCAGCAGAGCTGGCTGCTGTGACTCAACAGGACCTGTTTTAGGTATGTGGATGTCCAGGAGCAGTCAGCCAATCCCCGGCACTGGGACACACTGAACACAAATAAATTAGGGCGGTGTTTCCATGATGTCCCGTGCACCCACCTCCCCTTCCCTGAGACATGCACACACAGACCGGATGATCCTTGGCATGATGCTGGGCTGCGCCAGAGCCTTGCTGAGAGGGGAGTGGGTCTTCTGTCTGCATATGTTTGGACTGAGCCATTGCAGGGAAAAAAAACCAATGGTGGCAACGTGCAATGCTGGAATTAGAGGTCGTTCACCCTGCTCTGGACTCGAGCAGCCTGTTTCCTATGTGGGCTGCAGGGAGCTTCTCTAGCCCCTAGGCCAAGAGCCGGGGTACAGCCTCAGCCTGCAGAAGGGAAGCTGAGATGGTGGGGATTTTCTGTAGGTGGTCGACATGGGGAGACGATGTTCTCACCGTATGGGTGAGTTGGGTTAGTTGAACTAAACGACCCCTGCAGGCTTCTAGCTCTGACACCTATGTTTCTGGGGGACCATTCTGACTCATAAGTCCTGAAAACAGTGTGATAAAGGTCCACCCTCTACTTAACTGTGACCATGTGAGCCTTCCTGGATTAGGCAGTGTGTGCACCTGTGGAAGGATAGCTAATGCATCATGGTACTACTTCTAGAAAACTCAATTTCTGCTTATGAAACATCACCATTACAATGAAAAAAATAATCTAACAGATAGATTTCCACACTCCAGCTGACAGAACTCTATCTCAAGTCCTACTTGATTCTATAAAGGAATATCAAAAGAGGTTTGTTATATGGCATTAGGCAGCACAAGTATAAAGTAGTACACTTTTCATCCAATCTGCTTATTAGCCCATTTGTGTGTATGAATAACTTAACACAGTCAGTGGTGCTGAGAAGATGCTCGACTAATGCAACCTCTCTTTCACCTTCATTATTTATCACACTGAAATGTATATTAAAATATCTAGGTGAGATTTTAGCAGCCGTTACCTTTTGTTTTTAACTAGCCCACTCTTCCTTAGTTTGTAATAATAAAAAACAGCCTTTCTATGCAAATAAATATAAACTATTACTTGTATAGTATATGTGCATAGATACAATCTTAAAAATCCATTCGAAGTGAACTCCTATGTATAGTCTTTGCTGCAGTAAAGATGCTGTTTTAAGGGCTTCCTGTTCTTCTGAATTTTGCTTTGCTAGCATGACTCCCGCTGGGCTCATTTATGCAGGTTTTATGTGGGATGGCATTGGACGCACCTTCTTCTCAGTACTGCAAGGCCAAGGGAGGCAGCTAGTGTGGATTTAGCACAAGGGATGGGGGAGTCTTACTTTTCTTCTTAAACTGGCAGCCAGATCTGAGCTTGTCTGTGATGCACAGGCATGAAGAAAGGCCCCATCCCCACTGGGATAGCATCCAATTGGGATAGCATCCGAAGAAGTCGTTACTAACCTAGAAGGTGATAACTCAATCTCTGTGAGTGCAAACAGTTCCTCTGGCCTACTGTTTTCAAAGGAATTAAAAAGGAGAAAGGACGGTCAGGAGGACAGGAGGCCCTGCTTGGAAGGTGACTTCTAAGAGCCCGAGATAAAGGGCACAGGAGGGGAAGAGGCCAGGGGAGGAGAGGGCAAGGGCATGGGGCAGTGAGGGCTGGGCATGTGGGCAGATAGGAGGTGGGGAAGGAGAGCGAGAGGAGAGGAGAGACGAGGTTAGAGACAGTAGTGGAGGTGGCAGGCAAGACAGAGGGGATGGAATGGAGAAGCAGGAGCCAGGAAACAATGCCCAGGAATCCTGGTGGAGGTTCTAGGCTGGGTGGGCAGCTGGCCAGGAGCCCTGAGTATGGGGCAGGCCTCATAGAGCAGGACCACAGGAATAACTGTGTGCTGGAGTGCTGGGGAATCGCTCCCTGCCTCCAGTGGGAAAGACACTCTGCACAACCCCAGGCCGGCTGCTGGCCCTGAGCAGGCGTGGAGCAGAGGGAGGCCTATGCAGGGACCTATGGTGGGTTCGCTCCATGCGGGGTTTGCTTCTAGTGGTGAGGTGAAACCCCAGCCCTCCTGCCTCAATAAGATGCCACTCCAGGCTCCACCAGCACGTGAGTTACCTGGACAGAGGAAGGGGAGGCTGCCCCACACTGTCATCTTGCCTTAAGTCACCACCTTTGCCACTTAGAAGACCAGACGTGCATTAGCAGGTGACATAAAGCAAAATAGGGCCACAGGGGAAGAAGAGGCTCTACAATGAATAGTTCAAAGAAGGGCCTCCTTATTGACTATGCTGTGCAGCCCTGTGCCCTCACCCCTACTCAAGAGGCAGAAGTGCTCTGTCATCCTTGCTGGAATTTTCCCTCTCTCTTCCTGAGTCTAGAGGTTACAGCCTTAGTGGTGCGGACTTTCACAGCAAGAAAAAGCCCCTTTAGCCTGTGATCCAGGCGCGTCAGGATTGGTTGGTGAGTGAGGGGCTGTGGGTCCTATGCCAGCCTGTGAAGACGGGCCAGGGAAGGGAAATTTCTGGTCAGCGCCCCGGAGCTCTTTTGCACCTCTCGGGATACTGGGGTGGGACGTGGGCACAGAACAGCCGTGACTTCCCTCCGGAGCTGTCACGCAACGAGACGGGCTGGCTGGAGGGGCCGCCCTCGGCCCCGCCTCCCCCGCCTCCCGGGGCTGCGGCCCCGCCCACCCGCACGGACTCACCCTCACACTTGAGGCCTTGCCTGGCCAGCCCCCACAGCAGGGTCCCGCAGTGCTCGCAGAAGGTCGGGCTTTTGTAATTGTAGACTTTGAATCTGTGCGGCATGTCAATTTTGAACCTCTCCTTGTGGAACTGAAATAAGGGAGAACGTGTGACCCTGCTGGTACCCTGGGTCCCCGCGTCCACTGTCCCAGCAGATCCTTCAGCAGAACTACCAGGACGATAAAGTCATTGGACTGATGTATGCTTAGAGTATACTTGTCATTTACTTGTCAGCCTTACGGCCTTACGGCCACGTCTGCCAACAACAGGCAGCCCTTAGCTCTCCTAGGCAGGGGCAAGTGTGTCATGCACACATGTGAAGCACCCTGGGTATCGCTTAAGTCCGAGGCGTCCCACAGAGAAGTCCCCGTTTCAGAAAGAGGAGGTTGTTTACTTAAATGCGAGCTAAGTAAAAGCTGAGCTTCCCTTCCTTTTTTAATATAAATATTTCCATTTCTCTTTCAACCCAGAACTAGTGCTTTAACCTTGGCAGATGTCATATACTGGTTCTCTAGAGGAAACACTGCTCTGGGTTAACTCTGTGAGAGCCGGAGCAAGAAGCATCTTCACACCTAACACACATGGGTAAACTGAGGCAACAGGAGGTACATAACCATTCCTGCTGGGTCAGTGGACAGACATGTCACATGTTTATCTTTTACACGTGTGATATCACTAACACTACAGACCGGATGATCCTTGGCATGATGCTGGGCTGCGCCAGAGCCTTGCTGAGAGGGGAGTGGGTCTTCTGTCTGCATATGTTTGGACTGAGCCATTGCAGGGAAAAAAAACCAATGGTGGCAACGTGCAATGCTGGAATTAGAGGTCGTTCACCCTGCTCTGGACTCGAGCAGCCTGTTTCCTATGTGGGCTGCAGGGAGCTTCTCTAGCCCCTAGGCCAAGAGCCGGGGTACAGCCTCAGCCTGCAGAAGGGAAGCTGAGATGGTGGGGATTTTCTGTAGGTGGTCGACATGGGGAGACGATGTTCTCACCGTATGGGTGAGTTGGGTTAGTTGAACTAAACGACCCCTGCAGGCTTCTAGCTCTGACACCTATGTTTCTGGGGGACCATTCTGACTCATAAGTCCTGAAAACAGTGTGATAAAGGTCCACCCTCTACTTAACTGTGACCATGTGAGCCTTCCTGGATTAGGCAGTGTGTGCACCTGTGGAAGGATAGCTAATGCATCATGGTACTACTTCTAGAAAACTCAATTTCTGCTTATGAAACATCACCATTACAATGAAAAAAATAATCTAACAGATAGATTTCCACACTCCAGCTGACAGAACTCTATCTCAAGTCCTACTTGATTCTATAAAGGAATATCAAAAGAGGTTTGTTATATGGCATTAGGCAGCACAAGTATAAAGTAGTACACTTTTCATCCAATCTGCTTATTAGCCCATTTGTGTGTATGAATAACTTAACACAGTCAGTGGTGCTGAGAAGATGCTCGACTAATGCAACCTCTCTTTCACCTTCATTATTTATCACACTGAAATGTATATTAAAATATCTAGGTGAGATTTTAGCAGCCGTTACCTTTTGTTTTTAACTAGCCCACTCTTCCTTAGTTTGTAATAATAAAAAACAGCCTTTCTATGCAAATAAATATAAACTATTACTTGTATAGTATATGTGCATAGATACAATCTTAAAAATCCATTCGAAGTGAACTCCTATGTATAGTCTTTGCTGCAGTAAAGATGCTGTTTTAAGGGCTTCCTGTTCTTCTGAATTTTGCTTTGCTAGCATGACTCCCGCTGGGCTCATTTATGCAGGTTTTATGTGGGATGGCATTGGACGCACCTTCTTCTCAGTACTGCAAGGCCAAGGGAGGCAGCTAGTGTGGATTTAGCACAAGGGATGGGGGAGTCTTACTTTTCTTCTTAAACTGGCAGCCAGATCTGAGCTTGTCTGTGATGCACAGGCATGAAGAAAGGCCCCATCCCCACTGGGATAGCATCCAATTGGGATAGCATCCGAAGAAGTCGTTACTAACCTAGAAGGTGATAACTCAATCTCTGTGAGTGCAAACAGTTCCTCTGGCCTACTGTTTTCAAAGGAATTAAAAAGGAGAAAGGACGGTCAGGAGGACAGGAGGCCCTGCTTGGAAGGTGACTTCTAAGAGCCCGAGATAAAGGGCACAGGAGGGGAAGAGGCCAGGGGAGGAGAGGGCAAGGGCATGGGGCAGTGAGGGCTGGGCATGTGGGCAGATAGGAGGTGGGGAAGGAGAGCGAGAGGAGAGGAGAGACGAGGTTAGAGACAGTAGTGGAGGTGGCAGGCAAGACAGAGGGGATGGAATGGAGAAGCAGGAGCCAGGAAACAATGCCCAGGAATCCTGGTGGAGGTTCTAGGCTGGGTGGGCAGCTGGCCAGGAGCCCTGAGTATGGGGCAGGCCTCATAGAGCAGGACCACAGGAATAACTGTGTGCTGGAGTGCTGGGGAATCGCTCCCTGCCTCCAGTGGGAAAGACACTCTGCACAACCCCAGGCCGGCTGCTGGCCCTGAGCAGGCGTGGAGCAGAGGGAGGCCTATGCAGGGACCTATGGTGGGTTCGCTCCATGCGGGGTTTGCTTCTAGCGGTGAGGTGAAACCCCAGCCCTCCTGCCTCAATAAGATGCCACTCCAGGCTCCACCAGCACGTGAGTTACCTGGACAGAGGAAGGGGAGGCTGCCCCACACTGTCATCTTGCCTTAAGTCACCACCTTTGCCACTTAGAAGACCAGACGTGCATTAGCAGGTGACATAAAGCAAAATAGGGCCACAGGGGAAGAAGAGGCTCTACAATGAATAGTTCAAAGAAGGGCCTCCTTATTGACTATGCTGTGCAGCCCTGTGCCCTCACCCCTACTCAAGAGGCAGAAGTGCTCTGTCATCCTTGCTGGAATTTTCCCTCTCTCTTCCTGAGTCTAGAGGTTACAGCCTTAGTGGTGCGGACTTTCACAGCAAGAAAAAGCCCCTTTAGCCTGTGATCCAGGCGCGTCAGGATTGGTTGGTGAGTGAGGGGCTGTGGGTCCTATGCCAGCCTGTGAAGACGGGCCAGGGAAGGGAAATTTCTGGTCAGCGCCCCGGAGCTCTTTTGCACCCCTCGGGATACTGGGGTGGGACGTGGGCACAGAACAGCGGTGACTTCCCTCCGGAGCTGTCACGCAACGAGGCGGGCTGGCTGGAGGGGCCGCCCTCGGCCCCGCCTCCCCCGCCTCCCGGGGCTGCGGCCCCGCCCACCCGCACGGACTCACCCTCACACTTGAGGCCTTGCCTGGCCAGCCCCCACAGCAGGGTCCCGCAGTGCTCGCAGAAGGTCGGGCTTTTGTAATTGTAGACTTTGAATCTGTGCGGCATGTCAATTTTGAACCTCTCCTTGTGGAACTGAAATAAGGGAGAACGTGTGACCCTGCTGGTACCCTGGGTCCCCGCGTCCACTGTCCCAGCAGATCCTTCAGCAGAACTACCAGGACGATAAAGTCATTGGACTGATGTATGCTTAGAGTATACTTGTCATTTACTTGTCAGCCTTACGGCCTTACGGCCACGTCTGCCAACAACAGGCAGCCCTTAGCTCTCCTAGGCAGGGGCAAGTGTGTCATGCACACATGTGAAGCACCCTGGGTATCGCTTAAGTCCGAGGCGTCCCACAGAGAAGCCCCCGTTTCAGAAAGAGGAGGTTGTTTACTTAAATGCGAGCTAAGTAAAAGCTGAGCTTCCCTTCCTTTTTTAATATAAATATTTCCATTTCTCTTTCAACCCAGAACTAGTGCTTTAACCTTGGCAGATGTCATATACTGGTTCTCTAGAGGAAACACTGCTCTGGGTTAACTCTGTGAGAGCCGGAGCAAGAAGCATCTTCACACCTAACACACATGGGTAAACTGAGGCAACAGGAGGTACATAACCATTCCTGCTGGGTCAGTGGACAGACATGTCACATGTTTATCTTTTACACGTGTGATATCACTAACACCCCATCTGAAGTAGCCTTTATTAGTATCCTCATATGATAAATGAGGTTGATGAAGCACAGAGAGGGCAAGACACTTGTCTAGGTCACACAGCCATCAAGTGAGCTGGGGTATCTATCAGCCTGGAATCAGAATCAGCCCATTCTCTCTTGAAATAAACATGATGATTTAGGAGCTGGGGAGATAAAGATGAGAGAGGGACAGTGGTGGCAGATATAGTGCAGTGTTTTGTGGCTTTTTTTTGTTGTTGCAATTTTCCAGAGTTTAAATTCTCTCCTTTAATCAAGTATATCACTTGGACTAAAAACAAAAAAAGCAAAAAAAAACCAGGCAGTTCTATCCTGGTGAGGATACCACTATTCTTGTGTAGTATAGTTTTATCTATTTAAGACTTATAATCTCTGTAGAAGTTTTTAATTCAACACTTTCCTTGGGCATGTGCACAGCAAAGAAGCCTTATTTATTAACAGTAATATACCTAATGTTTTCACTGTGGATACTGGTCAACACTGGTCTTTAGGATTGTTTAAAAGTTGCTCCGCACATACTCTAGCCATATTCAAGCAAGAAAAAAATACTTTTTGGGTTTCATTTCATATAAACGTTTCCATGTACTGTGAACAATTAATATCAAGGTTCAGGTTAGAGGCTTCCACTTCAAATCTTGAACCCAAGCCCAGATAGTTCAATTTATGTCTAGGGAAGACTGTCAATCTGTACTTGCCAATATGACAATCACTTAGCCACATGGGCCAAGTAAATACTTGCAAGGTGGTGAAAAGATGTGTTGTAAGCGTAAAACACATACTGGATTTTGAAGGTTTTTGTGTGAAACAAATAATGTAAAGTATCTCATTAATTTTTTGTGTTGATCACATATTGAAATATTTGGACAGATTGGGTTTAATAAAATGTATTAAGGTTAATTTCACCTGTTGCTTTCTCCTAATTTGATGTGGCTACCTGAACATTTATGACACTTGTGGCTCTTATACTATTTCTATTGGACATTAGCCACTGAAGTTAACAGTCATGCTCATGATCTGTGATTTTTTCAGGAAAACAGAAGGCATGAAGTAAAGAGAACAGGAGGGCAGGATGGGAAGCAGCAATTTGATTAAAACAAACAAAAAAATTGGTCTGGCAGTGACAAAATAAGAAAAGACAAATATTGTATTATCTCACTTGTATGTAGAATCTAAAAAAACCAAAGAACAGAAGACCCGCTAAGTTTACAGAAAAAGAGATCAGATTTGTGGTTACAGAGTCTAGGGTGGGTGGTGGTGGTGGGGAATTGGAGAAAGGTGAGCAACAGGTACAAACATTCCCTGAGCTTCAGTTTAAGCAGGCCACTTGTTTACTGCTCATCATCACACCTTGCTGGCTATTTTCATAGCATTTAATGTAAATGGAAACAATACATAGTCGTTTGTTAACTGTTTCCCCAACTTTATGGTAAAGTCCCTAAAAGCAGGGCAAGGTCTGTTTTGTGCTCTGCTCTGCATAGTACATGGTGCTGCATCTTCCATGCATTAGTATGCTAATTACTTGTTGAATGAAGAAGGAAGGGAGGGAGCAGGAAGTCTACTGACTTTCTCATTCTGCTCCCCTTCCCCACAGGGTAAAACTCTCACTTGTCCCCAGACTGTATACCTCACAGTTCATCAGAAAGAACTATCTGCTTCTCAACCTAAGACATACGCTTCTCTTATCACCTCTAACCTGGTAAATGCTTAGGTCTGTGTTGTGTATCATTTGTTTCTGCTCTTTAACTGTCACTTGAGCTGTAGATGCCACAAGAGTTGTTTTCACATAACTGATCAAAAATATGCTTTCTGGCATTTTGTATTAAGTTTCTGGAAAAGGTAGAGTTATTAAAATCCATCTTGTGCTTTTCTTGTCCATCCTCTCATTTCCGATCTCAGTAATGATAGTTATTGAAGAGGAAAGGGTTTTAAAGAAGATTGATGTTCATTGAGGAACTTAAGGATTCAAGTTCAGGCAATATTAAAAGGAATCAGAAGGCTTGTAAAATTCCATGTTGGGGCAAAATCATCATATTTTGGAACAAAGAGAGGAATCTGAACACATACCATGGTTTCTCGGCTATTGATAGCTGATCCTGTGCACTTCGCTATAACTTTATCAATACACTTCTTGTGAATTGCCGCATTACATTCTGAAAAGAAATGATTGAAGTTTAGGATTTTCAGATATTAAGGAACAACTAAATAAAAAGAAGGGCCATGATACAACAGAAACCTTTCTTACTTACGTCGACACTGGTAGCCCTGCTTGTTCAGACCCCTGCAATAAAGCATATGTTTGATTTATGTGGATGTTCAAGTCTTTGGAAGTACCACAAACATTTAAAGGGTGAATAACATCTTAGAGCTTCCCACTGTCACAGAGCATTTTCTGATCAGTAGCCCGTGTTTATCATTTGCCAAGAGTGTTAATGTGTTGTTTTTAATTTAAACTGCTGTTAAAAGTCTGATAATTAAACAAATGAGCTGTTGATTTCCCTCATTTGCATATTTCCCAAACAAATGTAGAGATTAAAATGCCTGACCGAAAATGCATATGGGCTCCCACTAGCAAATTTCCATGTCCTACACATAAAAATTGTCACTAAGCTCAATACAGATGAGCAAAGATATCTGTACAACACTCTTTCCTTTACCTGAGTTTTTGAGAATATTTGCAACTATTTAAGTGCTTAAGCTTAAGACTCATTCCTGAGTAACACTCACTATTATAAAGGAAGGGGTTTCAAGTCATTAGATAGAAACAGCTAGTGGAAATCCTCCCACAGCCTCATTTACCCCTGGATACCTGCCTAAGCTGGCATTATGTGCTGACAGATTCTGCAGTAGTGCAAAGGGCACCCCATTAAGAGGTGAGGGAGTTGAGACCAGAGACAGGAGTTGTTTCAGGTATCCACTCTACCACCGCCTTTGCTGTGTGGTTACTGAGGCTTGAACCAATCTCTGTTGGAGGGCTGTTAAGACACTCAAGAGCCTTGTAAATGCCTAAACCCATCAGCTCCGATGGGAAAGTGCTGCCTTCTGCAGACGTCAGTACCAGCACAGCTGGCTGGCGAGGGGGGTGGGAGTCTGGCCTGTGAAACATGCCTCCCTCCCCTGTGCCTCCCGTTACCCCAGGGCCTCCCGTTTCATTGGACACTGAAGTCCTTGGAAGCTTTTCCTCAGAGGGCTGGCTTCCTTGCTCTCCAGGAGGCACATTATGAAAATATTTCACAGAATCACACCCTTTAAGCCTTTTCAATCCAGGTGTGGCCACTGAAAACTCTCCTATAGTAGTTATTCCAGTTGCACCCCCCAAGGTGGAGCATGCCAGGCCTGGCAGATTAAGAGGATGCGACAAAATCATAACCTGAAGCTTGGAGTGAAATGCCAAGTTACTGTACCAGACAAACTCATGGCAGACAGAGCAAAACGTGGGCTGTGGGAAAAAGGTGGCGGTGAACTCATGGCACTTGACATGGTGGACCTTGGCCTGTTTGATGGCTCCTCGGCGGTGATGCAAAGCAAAGAAGCTCTCAGTCTCAAATTCACTCATGTCCTTTGTGTCTGCAGGAAGAAGAGAGGGGACACAGTGACGTTCTGCGCTGTGTTTGTCCTAGCTGGGTGGGGACCTGCTGTCACACTGCCCAGGGCCCAAAGGAAACACACAGCAGCAAGGCGGTCATGGCCACGGCCACGCCATGTGATGGAAACTCCAGCGTGCCAGGCGAACAACACAATAAATGAGAAACAGCAAAAATCACCCTCATCACTAAAACAGGATAATGAAATTAATGATTATAACTTCCAGAACTGTAATTCTCAATACTCTGAAGATTCTTATATTACTTACTCTGTTTCTCTTACTTTTACATTACAAAATATGGAGGTTTAGCAAGAATAAGGCACTCATATTTCACAAATAATATAAAGAGTTAATATTTAAATTACTTCAGTTCTGGTTAAGCAGTGGCAGAGGCCCAACACCACACTGGAGGCAACTGTTCCCACCAAGGTGCCTCAATTCCTGTGCCGCCGACAGTGGCCAGGCTAGAGACACACCACACAGACGAATGAGGGGCTGTGCAGATGGAGGCCTCCCCCAGGCATCCTGCCAGGGCCCATTTGAGGACTTGCACCTTCTCTGCAGTGATGCATGGTTTACAGTTGCTCCGAACTCCCAGTAAAGACTATTCCCAATAATTCTGAAGAGTTCCACAGGTGGGGCAGAATATTTTGCCAGTATTTTAAGGTTAGGTCATTTAGGTGTCTTTATTTAGAAATGGGCTGAAAATAAATTAGGCTTGGTGAAGGAGGAGTTCAATTCAGGGTCTCTGAGGCAGTCACCTTCCATAGTTCTGTCTAAGTGTGGAGATCTATTTACAACTTGTGACTGCTATAGTATGCCATTTGTCAGTAAGACTGGACTCATTTCTGTTCTGGCCCAGAAGAAATGCAATAAATGAAGTATCCAATTACTTTTAAATTCAGGAGATGGAAGTGAATTATTCTGGGAACCCTAACTAAAATACCATATGTATATATACATAAAATATATATATATAATGTTACAGATATAAATAAAAATATGTATGTTCTGTGAATGAGAATAGTGACAATTTGTTAAGACAGCAAAAAGCACTACAAACAAATTTATCCCTTTGCTTCTTTCTGTGTTTTCCTTTCTCCTCTTACCAAGTCAATCATTACAAGAGAACAAATATATAAAAACTCAGAATTTCTTGAATTCTTCTGGTATTTACTGTGTTTATTTCTGAAGAAATTCAGAATTAATAGCTCCCCTATCTATTAGCTTGAATAAATTCATGGGTTTTTATATGTTCGGTTATTTCTTTTAGAGTAACAGCTCCTAATCTATTTATTCAGTTTCGTCTATCATTTTTTTGTAGCCAATCAAGCCACAGATATTTCCTTGGCAGCTACGAGTAAATTGCTATGCCAAATGTTCTAAAGAAATATGAGATGTTATCTCTAACCTCTGAGTGGCTAACAGTCAAGTCGGGGTGACATGGCACTCATGGCACAGAGCAGCATAGGATGGCGTGGGACAGACTTGGAGGTATTTGCCCCCATTTTTTTAGGAGGTGCAAGAGAGGCCACAAGAAACAACTGAAAATTTAAGAGGAAAACTTAAATAGTATTGCTTTGGGCAAGCCAAGAAAGAATGGATTTTCAGCAATGACTGACCCAGAGATGCCAAGGGAACTGAAGACTAAGAAACAGGAATTTGTTTTGAGGATTCATACACTCGGAGAAAGCCATTTAGTAGACTGGTCCAAATACAAGCCACATTCTTAGGGTTTAAGAATGGAGGGAGTAGTGAAGAAACACGGGCTAATACATATAAAACACTTCTTCAAGAAATGTATCAGTGAAGGAGAAGGAAGAAATACTCGTGGAGATAAAAAGGTTAAAAAAAATATTTTTCAGGATTGGAGAAGATGGCTTAACTTAATATGTCTTGGCAATGAGCTGGAAACCAGAGAGAGGAAAGCTGGAGAAGCTACAGAGAAAGCAAGAGCACAGAGCCGCAGGGGACGGAGAAAGGACTTCCTCTGAGGCAGAGCAGGGAAGGGCATGCAGGGGGACACAGCTGTTCTCCACATGCACAGACAGACAGAGGACGGAGTCTCTCCCAGTTATACAGGGGGCAAGGCCAGCCCCCAACAGTGGGAGAAGAGTAAGACACCTTCAGAAACTGAGGGCCATGGCAATGTTTGGAACAGCCATTGTGTGGGGATAGAAAGAAAATAAAATGAATTTCCAAATCCCAGGATGAATCCAACTCAACAGTTCAACAAACACTCATTAAGTACCTCCTATGTACCTAGCATACAACCTGGTGCAGGAATTAAAGAGGCAAATAAGATGTGGTTCAACTACTGCTTTCCTGCAAGGAATTTAGCATCCAGAAAGAAAGACAATGTAGTACATGTCGGAACAGACATATTCATAGGATGCTAAGGGACCACGGCAGCGAGGAAGCTATTCCAGGTAAAGTAGATGGAGGTAGGACGAGGTGAAAAAGAGAGAAAAGTTGGATAAGAAAGGTACTGGCAGAGATTATTTTGAGCTGGATCCTGAAGACTAAATAACTACTACTAATGGGTGGGAGAAGGTATGGTAGGGAAAAGCAGGAAAAAAAAAAGGTATTTCCTCTAGATGGAAGAATGAATAAGGGTATAGAGGTAAGGTGTCTCAGGAGGTGTGTATTGCCAGAGTATAGAGCATATAGTGGAGAATGTCAGTGGTCACATCCAGAAGATGTGTATGTATCAGATCACTTTGAACATTTTCCTGTAAATAACTTGCAAACACTGAAAGGCTGTATGTAGGTAGGCGCAAAGGAAAACCAGAGGCGTGGTATGTTCAGAATGGAGTTTTACATAGTTCATTCTGGCAGGCACAGTGTAGGAGAATGACTGGGATTTGCCAAGAGGTAACAGTGACACAACAGAGCATAAAACTGAAAAATGCTAAGTAGACAAAATGGGCAGAAACTGTTGATGGATTAACGTAGGAGGTGCACCAAAAGGAGGCTATAAAAATTACCACCATGTTTCTGCGTAGATAGAGTAACAATTAACTAAGATGGTGACCAGAAAAGGAACAGGGTACTGTTGAGAATGATACGAGTGATTTTGGACATACCGAATTTAAAGTCATTGTAGCAAAGCCAGTTGGGGTCAGAAGTCAGACATATGAGTGTGAAACAGGAGCGCTGCCTAGCAGCATCGTTTGCAATGGACTCAGCTGGATGCCTTTTTCGAGCAAAACCTTGGAGGAGTTGGGGGGAGAATGCAAGGTCTGGAGATCAGAACATCCTGACAGAAGAAGGTGAGGGCAGAGTTCTGGCAAAAGCTTATCCTGGGCCCCAGACTAAGTAGGGAGTTAATGCAGACGTGGGCTAACAAATGGGTGGAAGATAAACAGATTGGGGTAAGGTCTAATACCTACTGGGTGAGCGGGAGGGCAGAAGTGACAGGGGAGGAGGGTGAGTTCTGAGAGAGAAAGGTCTGACTCTCAGCCTTTGATGGTGCAGAATCCAAGTGATGACCCGTGGGGTCACTGTAGGTGACTGCCTGATAGAGACAAGGGTAGGGAGGTATGCGAGTGTGAGGAGGGGGTATCCGATGGTGATGTTGAACACAGACGCTGCCAAGAGTGATGGCAGGAGAGCACAGAAGAAGAGAAAAAGTGATTCCAGCACATAAGTCTAGGACTGCAGGCTTGAAGAGAAAGAATAGAGTGATTTGTGAGTGGAGAACAAGGAGCGACTTCTCTGTAGAGCAGAAAATAATAGAGGCTTCCATTACAGAGGGGTGTAGGAGAAAGGTATCATCTTAAATGTCATGCAAACTTGAAATCTTTATCCCCTCCATTTGCCTCCCCTTCCCCGTCTCCCATCTCTACCAATCTTATTTTAATTTTTCTAGTCCAGCTATTTTAAGAGATGTCATCAACATTTCTCCCTCCATTCAACTTTCACTTGTTAAGAATTACAAAGCACCTCAACTGTGTGCTTATGATGGGTACACCCTTTCATCTACACTACCATGAAATCTTGCTTTTATTTTTCTTTTGGATGCTTTTATCCCTATTAACAAAACCCCTAGATCAGATTCCCATCACCTCTCCATTGGAAAAATGAAGTTTTATAGGCTCTCTCTATATTCAGTCTATTTCCTTTCCCAAATCTGTCCCACATTCTGTTACAAGCAATTCCCCCAAACACTACTGTCATCACATCATGTGCTCCTCAAGGATGTGACTGTAACTCCTTGTTGGTGACTTCCCCAAGTCTACACCCTCCTCTTGCCTGGCTACCAAGCCCCCCAATATCTATCTTGGATTCTTCATTCTGATTTTAGCAGGGTCCCCTGATCTGCCTAGACTGGTTTTCTCAGTCATGCATCCATTCAGTTTCGCTCAAGCTTACATTTTGTCCTTCTAGAAGGCTATCCCTCTTTGCAAATCTTGACTCTGTTTATCCTTTAATGTCCACTCTGTGAATTTTCTGAAATGGAGGCAATCGTACTGATCTCTCAGTTAATTAGTATTTATACGATTTAGGATTTTTCTCATTGTTTACTCTGTACCACCTCTCCAGTCTGGGCTTAAGTTACCTGAGGAGAAGGATTCATGTTTTAGTTTTCTCAGAAAACTATTCCTTACATATTAAACATTCTTAAAATTGAATGATAGCCTCTATTTCTTATCAATAAAGAGTTTTCTAGTTAGGGGATCCCATAACATTGCTTATTATAAATTAAGATTTTTTTTTTATATATAAAAATTTAGAGATGGGGTCTTAATTTGGGTCTAGATATAAAAAAATTTAAATATTATCAAGGTTTATTCTAAAAAAGAAACAACTTCTTGGACTTGCATAATTACTGTTTGTGAAATCAGTACTATTGGTTTTGCCCCACCTGACTATTCTCTTTCAATCTGAAAGAAAATTCAAGTCACATAGTAATAGGAAGACTATCCCTGGACTGGTTTCCAAAACAGCAATCTTGAAACCATTTACCAAAAGCACTTTCAGTCCCGTGGAGGACTTTCTTCATCTACACTGGCCTGTGTTCTAACAGGAGAAGAAAACCTCTTCTTACTCAAGGAATGAAGCACCACTGGTTTTATTATCAGACCAGAATTCTCAGTTTTTGGGCATTCCCAGCTATTCTCCTTCCTATAATCATCCTAGATTATCTGGCCAACTCAAAAATAGTACAATGACATGGTTCTATGTATCTAGAGCCTCCATGAGATAAAAGAAGAAAAGTTCAGATTGTTACTGCTCCCTCTTTAGAAATTTTTTCTTAAAAAAAAACCCCTTTATTATGGAAAATTTCAAATATAAATTAAAGTTGAGCAAATACTATAATCCATTTCCCAGTACCAATCATCCAGCCTTAACAATTACCAATCCATGGCCGCTGTCCTCCAATGTACCCCCGTTCATCCCCAACCCTGTGCCAATGGGTTATTTTGAAACAAATTCCTGGTGTTATATTATTTTATATGCAAACATTTTAGTATGTATCTTAAAGATAAGGACCCTTTTAAAAAAACATGACCACAATGCCATCATACACCTAAGAAATTAATAACAATGCCTTAATATCATCAAGTATCTGGTGAGTATTCAAGCTTCCCTGATCATGTCATGGTATGTTTGAATCTGGACCCAAAGAAATTGTGTATGTTACGTAAAAACACAGGAAGCACCATAAATCTCTAAACCAGAACTTGTTTCTTGGTAGTAAAACTAATTTAGGAAAAATGAAATCAGTTCATTATTGGTAAGTTCACAAAATTCATTCTGAGGTTTAGGATTTTACGAGTAGTGTCATTTGATTCGTGTAAACAGAATTTTGATGACAGGACATAAAAGAAGCAGAAACTACTGACAGGCTGTTACAGGCACCAAGCACACTGGTAGTAAATGAGGCTTCTGTGATGGAAGCCTGTGTATGACATGGAACTGAAACTCCCTGGCAATGCATTTTTCCTTCCTTGTTCCTAGGATTGGACGTGACTAAGTTGAAACATTAATATTTTGCCACTAGCATCATGGAAAATACTTAACTGATTTCTTATTTTTTATTCTACTAATTATATGATAGCTTGTTCTATCACATCACTTATACACAGACTGTGTGGATGCACATAGCAGCACAGAAACAGAACCTTTTGTGTTTATGCACAAAACTAAAGTACAGACTATAAGAGTGCAGGGCACATGAGTTTACACCATTTAGGAACTAGTGCTATAAATGTTGTATATGTCTATGTTTTTCTGGTCCACATAGTGTATTTTCAACCAATATTCAAGCACCACTGTGAATTTCAAGACAGTTCCTTGTGCTTTCCTTTTCTCCTAATTCTGTCTGTGCTACTGCAGAAATAAAATCAATTGCATGTCAGCAGGGACATGCCCTCCTCGCCCCCCAACAAGAAGAAGAAATGTCACTTGCCGCTCATTTCCAGAAAGTATCTTGCATTCATTAGCATTCGGCCTTGAGGTTTCAGCTCTAACTGGTTGAGAGAAGGAAAGAAATGTCAGTCAGCATGTGGAAAGGCCTGGAGATGACAATACCTGGCAAATTCGGGGATGGAGAAAGTTTCCAATGTTGAATTCAAACACTGTTCCCGTCCATTTAACCCATATGCATTACTAAAATTGTGCAACATCAGTGAGTACAGCCTTTCTTTTATTATAACACCTCAGCAATTCATTAATTTTACTTGGATATCAAAACTGCCATAAAGAGGAAACAAAATTCTGGCACAGTCTAATTTTCCTGCCCCATGCTGCTCCTGACCTATAGAACTGCAAAAGGGCAGATTCAGACCATAATCAGGACAGAAGAGTCACAGACGCTGGGACAGGCTAGTTTGGGGAACAAGTAGGAAGGAAAGATAAATCCTGCTTTGAGGGTGGCTGCACCCACGCCTCTCGGGTATGAAGTGGGGGGCACCTTCTTTCATAAGGTTCTCTGGGAAAGTGCTGGATAATCTACTAAGGGGAATTTTAATTAGACTGGCCTGAGAAGGGATTAAAAAGTTACTTTTCAGTATCATTACAAAGAAGGGATCAGAACAAGGTGACATTTTAAAGGATGATGCAGGATGTCACATGATGTGACTGAAGGGAAAAAATGGCAAATCCTTAGAAGTTAAGCTACTATTGCTAATATATTAACCAAAACACTGTATCATTACTATACTAAAAAGAAAAAGAAGGCGAATTGGATGGAGGTCCTTACTGACCATTGCATCTGTGGGTTACCTAGAGTAACTGAGAAACAGTAACAAGTGCCTGGCTGAACCCAGGATTACACAGTTTACTGGCTGTATGACCTTGTGCAAGTCACTAAACCTTCTAAGATCTCTGAAAAACTGACCCCACAGCATACTTACATGCCAGCTTCACTACTATGAGAATTTTATGATGAAATAAGCATTTTTTGCCTAGTTAGCTATAAATTCTTATGCATGCTTAAACAGATTAATGAAAACAGAAGAGCTTTTGACATCAGCTATGTGCGCACCTTGTTCTCTGGCTTGTGGAATAAGTAATAAAGATAGGGGCAAAATGGAACTAGAAGAGAAGAGATGGGTGGCTCTTTCCTAAATGAAGGGGAATAATTGGTAGCAGGTGGCCAAAAATACTCAGGACTAAGTGGTGAGGGAGGAAAAGGCAGTTAGCTGCCGGACACACAGTAGCCATAGGAAGCCATCTCCATCACGTTTGAAGAGTGAGAGGAGATAAGCATGCACACAGTTAACCCCCAGGAAGGCAGGCCGTGGGTCTCAGTGTGGTGTGCAGACACTCGATGGTGTCTGCAGAGGTGACATGGCAAAGTTCAGAAAGTAGTATTTTAAATAGAGAAGTTAACTTTTAGAAAGCAAATTTCAATAGAAGCAAGGGAAAATAAAAGTCCACAACAACCTGTTGGCCCTTGAGTTCTCTAAATAAAACAAAGAAATAACCTAGAAAAAACAAAGCTGAAAATGTAAAAAGGTTGCTAGTTAAATGATGAGCTGAAAGCCACCAAATGCTGTGTCTACATAATCTTAGAGGGCAAACAGGGTGAAAGGTGGTGGGAATGAAATCAGAAAGAGCTTAGGCAAGAAATCAAATGCAAATTTAAGAGACTGAATAGAAAAGCATCCTGTTCATCAGCTAAGCCTCACACAAGAATTAAAAAAATCAGTTGTCCTCCCATCCATTGAGAAGGAAGTTGAATAGCATTGCTACTTCAAAAAATTAGGGGTTTGGCGGCCTTTTTTTTCAAATGAGGCAGAAAGCAGGAAACAAATGGGAATGGGGGAAAAGCTGGGGCAGACATCACATGGGTGACCTCGTCTTTCCTCACCCCACCAAATGCCCGGTCTTTGGGGCCACCCTGGCCTGCCTGGTCTGTGCAGCCCCTGCTGCACACACTGTTATGCATCTGTGATGTTATCCAGCTGGTCAGCCTCTTCCTACCCACCTAAACAGCCACCCAAGTGGAGCTGCTTGCACCATCCTTCCCAAGCTGAACACACAAGCGCTCCACAGATGCTGTGGAACTAAATTATTCAAATGCATGTCAGCATGGGAGACTTTTTAAAAAAATCCTGGTGTATGCTGATCTTTAAAGATTACATTACTGACACAAGCAAAGATGTATATAAATATATACTTTCTAAAAAGTACTGTTATTTTCTGAAGTCAAAAATACAAAATGACACAAAAATGCACTTTCTACGTTTTTATCATTTGCACTTTGAACCTGTGACTTGAAGCTCCTTTGGGTGGAGTTCTTAAAATCTGAGTTACAGGAAATAAGCAAAAAGGTAAGATTCGCTCTGTTTGCTTAAATGATAAAAACATCTGAAAGCATTCTATGGAGTCAGATGATTTAAAAGCAGTTTTTAAAAAAATTTTTTATTTCATGGGTCTGAGAAATTTTCCTTAGATTTTTTTTTCTGCTTTCATATTTTACTCTTCCCTTTAACATTTCTACACATTTGCTATCAGAACAGTCATAACCTAGATTTTCATAAACTTGGTGTGGTCCCATGGGTTGTGTGTGGTGTGATTTTAATACAAAGTAAGCTAAGTGAATATGTACTGGCTAAAAAAATGTATAGGGATTGGCAAAGTATGGAGAGAGAAGCCCTCAAGCAATTCATCTTTGAACGACTTCTCACTTATCTATCATCTTACCTATCTTCTAGCTTATCATATAGATATCTTGGTAAGATACAAGATTATATGACTTATCTATAGGATACTGATATGTAAACAACAGGTTCCCAACTTAGGGGGAATTAGTCATATTTCTGAGCTTGCTTTTATAGTTATAAACCCATAACAGGTCTTCACAGCCTAAGAGACCTCTTCTCTTCCCACGGGACTCAACGAGACTTGAATGTGTCAGTAGGCTACATGGTTCACAATGGGTAATCATTGTCATCATCGAGTCACCAATGAGTAAGTGGTCGGGAGTCTTTGGTCTAGGCCAGTAGTATATCATAATTTTAAGATGACATTCAAGTTTTGTGCTAGTCTTCATCTAACAGGGTATTTATCACTTAATGGTACAGACACTAAATAAAGCTCACAGCTCAGATATTCACCCATATTTCTGTCTTCCCATTGTTCTTCCTACATCTCTCAGCCAGGGAGTAGAGCTCCACTGTAGTTTCGGAAATCAGGTCCACATTCTTGCCCTTCACAATGATCTGCATTACCCTTCCCTTGTTGATGTGGGCGTCGAAAGTGCTGTCCCAGGGCGGGTACATGGTTGGCTTTTTCTGGATATACATCTGCCCATTTTCTAGGAACAGAAAGACAGGTTCTCATGATGCTTTAGCTAGCTCTGGGAAATAATGCAAGTCAATAATTCAACAGTGGCACATATTCCCTCTGCTTCCTTGGATCTGTAATTCTATGGGAAGACAAAAATAACACATAAGATTGTTAGAGGCAAAAAGGACAGAATGAGACAATTTCAAGTTCCACATGCAAGGTAATGTATTAAAACTTAACTCAGCTGGATAATTTAGACAACAGAAGTCTGATGATGTCTAGTTTGCTTACTTTGTAAATAAATTCACTGAGCAAATAAAAAGAATTCAGGGGCTGAGCCTGGTATATTTATTTGGTAGGGGAGAATGACCCAGATCCCATTCTTTAGATGTTTTATTCTGTTATGCCTTTTGGGATCCTCCTTTGTTCATCTATAAAGAGGGGACATGTGATCAATTTCACTGGCATTTAGTAAAAAAAAAAAGTCAATACAAAACTATTGTGTAGTCATCTGAAAGACCAATTTAAAGCTTAAAATGAATGCTCCTTTAAAAAGGTATTTTAAAATATCCCGTTTGACATAAATACACTAACAGGCAAAACATTTAAAACATAATGAGCCATTATTTCTTTCTCTCATTCTTGAATGAAGATACATTTTTTCCATGTACCAGGCACCCCAAGCAAAAGGCAGAGAGGCAGTGGTCCTAATCCATGGACAGAGAGGCAGGTTGTGAGAAAAGAAAAATGTTACCATGAGCATTACCATCTGGGAATGAGGCCCGGAGGCAGGTGGGAGTCAGTAGCAACAACCAGGGTCAGGATGCTGTTTCATGGGGACCCTTGCCCCCAGAACCACCAGGTGATTGGGACTTTGTTAGTGGGATTAAGTAGGTGGTCACAGCTTTCATCCACATTGAATTTCCTGCAGTATTTATTCTTAATCATTTCAGAAGCAGAAAAGAGCAGCTGGATGTTTGTGTTTCTTGTGATAACAAGCACAGTAAGTGGCAGATTCAGCAATTTTCCGATGTCAATGAAGCAAAAAGGAAAAATCCGTTTAAAGCAAGGAAACAAAGCTGTTGTGACTCCTGGTGGCCCTATCTCTCTGGCACAATGCTAAAACGGAACAGGCACTGAGCATCTGCTAAAATATAAAATATTGGGAGGCATATGAGGATTTGAATTAGCCATAACTCCAAATTTTTGGAAAGGCTGGCTATTAGAGGTATAAACTCTGACAAAATATTAAGAGTAGGATAGGAAAGGGTAGAGTTTTATGGGTTGTTTAGAAGAAATCTAACTGCAGATTGGACTTTTTAAGAATGCCAATGGTCATGGTAGCATTTTACTTCCCCAGACTTGCAGCTTCTCCTTCCATCACCCTTTCAACCGTAACTGTTCTCCAAGCCTCAGCAAAGGACAGGGGTTCCCATGGCAAGGCATTTTTACATTTTCATTCACTAGGTTTGTAATCACCTAAAAAGAGGGCCAGGACTCAGGACCCTGTCTATGTACAATGGGCTTTACCATTTCACAGGCTCCTGGACCCATAGCACTGTGTCCCGTCTGTCCCTGTCCTGTGGACTCATCAGGGAAAATGCAGCATATTTAAATTATGTATAAGTAACACTTGAATTATAATGTTCAGGGTGATTTCAGAACAAAACCAAAACAAAAATCTCCAAACTCTACAGGCTATCTTTTTGGAAAAAAGAAGTCTTCTGTCAAGGTCTCTTGATCCACAGGGCTGATTAGACCAAGTTCAAAGGCAAAGCCCAAAGAAGCAGCAGAAATTTTTTAAAAAGGCTCTCAGGAGGCAAATGTCAGTGAGATCTGTGCTTGTAAGGAGAATGGGATCCAGGAGACCCATTAAAGCAAAAGTAGCTTTGAAAAACTCAGACATGTTACACTTCAAAGATTTCTGTGACATTTGAAAGGTTTTAGATTAGGAACAAGTGCCATTCTCACTTTTAACTAAATAGGAGAGAGATCTGGGCAGAAGGAAAATGAAGACGACTCAGAGTCTCTGCGGCTTTGATGCCCCTGAGCTGGAGGGAAGGGTGAAGTTAGTGGTGAAGAAGGACAAGGAGCCTTTGAGGGGAGGCAGAAGGCAATCGTAGCATTTGGACTCCAGGATCCTAGGCTGGCAACATCCGGCTGGAGGTTCTCGCTGCTGTACCAGGCACCCCTCCATCTGTGTCACTCCTTAGGAGGCCCTTTTAGGACTACCCTGTACATAGTAGCACACATCTCTGTTCTTCATCCTTCTCTCTCCCCTTCGCCCTGCTTTGGTTTTCTTTATGGCATGGTCATTATTTACTGTATCATATTTTTGCTTCATGCCTGTCTTCCTCTGCTGGAACAGAAGCTCTAAAGGAAGGGTTCTTGACAACACAAAGAAATAAAAGGCATCCAGGTTGGTAAGGAAGAAGTCCAACTGTCACTGTTTGCAGATTACACACTGTACATAAAAACCCTAAAGAATCCACTACAAAACTACTAGAACTAATATCTGAATTCAGCAAAGTTGCAGGATACAAAATTAAAGACAGAAATCTGTTGCATTCCTATACACTAACGATGAACTAGCAGAAAGAGAAATTGGGAAAACAATTCCATTCACAATTGCATCAAAAAGAATAAAATACCTAGGAATAAACCTAATCAAGGAAGCGAAAGACCTATACCCTGAAAACTATATGACACTCTTAAGAGAAATTAAAGAGGACACTAACAAATGGAAAGTCATCCCATGCTCTTGGGTAGGAAGAATTAATATCGTCAAAATGGCCATTCTGCCTAAAGCAATCTACAGATTTGATGCAATCCCTATCAAAATACTAACAGCATTCTTCAACAAATTGGAACAAATATTTCTAAAATTCATACGGAACCACAAAAGACCCCGGATAGTCAAAGCAATATTGAGAAGGAAGAATAAAGTGGGAGGTCTCACTCCCCAACTTCAAGCTCTACTACAAAGCCACAGTAATCAAGACAATTTGGTACTGGCACAAGAACAGACCCATAGACCAGTGGAACAGAATAGAGAGTCCAGACATTAACCCAAACATATATAGTCAATTAATATATGATAAAGGAGCCATGGATATACAATGGGGAAATGACAGCCTCTTCAACAGCTGGTGTTGGCAAAACTGGACAGCTACATGAAGGAGAATGAAAGCGGATTGTTGTCTAACCCCTACACAAAAGTAAATTCAAAATGGATCAAAGACCTGAATGTAAGTCATGAAACCATAAAACTCTTAGAAAAAAACATAGACAAAAATCTCTTGGGACATAAACATGAGCAACTTCTTCATGAACATATCTTCCCAGGCAAGGGAAACAAAAGCAAAAATGAACAAGTAGGACCATATCAAACTAAAAAGCTTCTGTACAGCAAAGGACACCATCAGTAGAAAAAGACCTCCTACAGTATGAGAGAATATATTAATAAATGATATATCCAATAAAGGGTTGACATCCAAATTATATAAAGAGCTCACACACCTCAACAAACAAAAAGCAAATAATCCAATTAAAAAATAGGCAGAGGAGCTGAACAGACACTTCTCCAAAGGAGCAATTCAGATGGCCAAAAGGCACATGAAAGGATGCTCCACACAACTAATCATCAGAGAAATGCAAATTAAAACCACAATGACATATCACTCACACCAGTTAGGATGGCCAGCATCCCAAAGACAAACAACACATGTTGGCGAGGATGTGGAGAAAGGGGAACCCTCCTACACTGCTGATGGGAATGTAAATTAGTTCAACCATTATGGAAAGCAAAAAACTCAAAATAGAAATACCATTTGACCCAGGAATTCCACTCCAAGGAATTTACCCTAAGAATGCAGGATCCTAGTTTCAAAAAGACATATGCACCCCTGTGTTTATCGCAGCACTATTTATAATAGCCAAGAAATGGAAGCAACCCTGTGTCTATCAGTAGATGAGCAGATAAAGAAGATGTGGTACATATACACAATGGAATATTATTCAGCCATAAGAAGAAAACAAATCCTACCATCTGCAGCAACCTGGATGGAGCTAGAGGGTATTATGCTCAGTGAAATAAGCCAGGTGAAGAAAGACAAGTATCAAGTGATTTCACTCATCTGTGGAGTATAAGAACAAAGAAAAACTGAAGGATCAAAACAGCAGACTCACAGAACCCAAGAATAGACTAACAATTACCAAAGGGAAAGGAACTGGGGAGGATGGGTGGGAAGGGAGGGATAAGGGGGAAATAGGGGCATTCCGATTAGCATACAATATGGTGGGGGGAGCGGCATGGGGAAGGCAGTGTAGCACAGAGAAGACTAGTAGTGACTCTATAGCATCTTACTATGCTGATGGACAGTGACTGTAATGGGGTATGTGGTGGGGACTTGATAATGGGGGGGTCTAGTAACCATTATGTTGCTCATGTAATTGTACATTAATGATACCAAAATAAAAATAATAAAAATAGAAATAAATCACAGAAAAATAAATAAATAAATAAAAATAAAGGAAGGGTTCTTGTTCAATCCCAACGCACAGCAGGCACTCCATAAATTCTTTATATGTAAGTGAACTGGATGCCTCCTATGGTGCAAACCTGCATCAGGGGTAATCATACGTTTCAACAGAGTGAGTCAACAAGAAATGTGTGTAGGGAAATAGGGAAAAGTAGTGAGGCTGGCAAAACTTCGGGATGTTAACTTCCTTTCACCTTCCCTATAGAATGTCCGTAAGAATGCTGAACTACAGAAGCGGCGATCCAGGAGAATGGAAGCCAGCTGAAGTGACTGTGGAGAGATTCCCGGCAGAAGGATTATTTTAATTGAATGACCTAAAGCCAGTAATGGAGACTCAGAAGACTGTCACACTCCCCTTCACCAGGAGCTGCCTGTAAATATTTAAATTGGACAAAACATGATCATTCTTTCACTATTCCAGAGCCTTTGTAAACACAAAAGTACGTTTTCTGAAGTTTGGATTCTAATGGCTAATTTATATTCTTTGTACATTCATCCAAGCTTAGTCAAAGAAGCAGCAAACCATCCTTAGAGTTAATTCAAAGACTGTGCAGACTTAACCTATCTGAAACCACTGCAAACAGCCAGGCTTAGCAATGGGCTCCCCTTACACCGTGTCCTCCACCCATTTCTCCTTTCCTCTGTTTCCCTTATGTATATGGGAAAATGGTACAGGGAACTGGAAACAAGGCAGGACGCCCGGTCTGGTTCAGAGCTCTCACTAAGCTCCTATGCCTCTGAGGCAGCACCAGGCTTCCCTGGAGGCCAGCTTCCTGAACTGTAAAACTGGGTTGGACCAGACAACCTTGCAGACCCTGGAAGGCGTGCTAGAGACTTCTAGGCGGGCCCTCCTCCTCCCTGCCAGAACCCACCCAAGCTTACCCGACTCCACATATTCTTTGACCAGCACAGCGCAGTAAGGGTTAACAGCCTCTCCCTGACACGGCTGGCAGGACCCGCAGTCAAAGTTGGACAAACCAATTCGAAGAAATGGTGACATGGCTGCTTCCTGCAAAGCAACAAGAGACATATGCGGTTTGGGGGCCTTAAGAGATTATTTCTGATGTCCCATCCTCACTTGACCAGTGCTTTATCACCGACAGCCCAGAGCCTCAGATGGTCCAACTATCCATTCGAACAAATGCCTTCACTTCCTCTCTGCAAAGTTCATCACTGGGCTCCTTCCAAACCACAGACTGACTTACCAAGGGACGACCTTTCTGGAAGTCTCTGGTATTCAACCTCATCAGTTATAATGCTAATTTCACTCTTAATTCAACGGAGTTACAATAAATAGTTGCAGAGAGAGCCCCAAATTTTCCAACATTTTATTTCTTCCATCGTTTAAGGAGACACTCAGGAAACAATACAGTGTAATAAAACAATGAGTTTTTAAAGAGTGTGTCTATTTCAGTTACATGATTAAATATGACACCACAGAATTCTTACATGGGCTATTTATGTGTGTGATGGACTTGGCTCTGGCATTTAGCAGCTGATCCCTATTTACTTTAGGCACTTCAAAAGTCTTCTTCACAGTCCTATAGATGTGTGTGTGTATGTGTGTAGATACACACATACATGTATACATACATATAAAATAAGCCTTTGAACATTATGAGCCACTCAGAAAACCCTAAATCATTGATCACCATAAAACAGTGCTTTATCACCTCAGGATAACTCAGGATAAACAACGTACTTCATAAAAGCCAAATAACTCTGCTTTCCTAGAGAGAGAGGTGAAAATCATCCTAGTATAGGGTTCAAATGCCAGGATTCTAGTCCGATTCCTCATCTGACCTTGCCTGCCTTATCTTCGTTTGGCCACTTACCTCAACTTTTCTTTAAAAAAAATTACTTTTCCACGAGGGCCCATTCATCTGAACCTATCATCCGCTATTCAGTAGAAAAGTTACTTCCTTGCTTCTTCTTTCCTTTTTGGACCATTTTCTCATGAATTTTCTTAAGTAAGCCAAAGACAAGAGCAAAGCATTAGCTTGTCTTCTCTCTCTCTGTATAAAGCAAGCCACTCAGACTAATAGGAAGCCAGATGTGAGAACCAGCGACTGGAAATCTTGCGCCCGTAATCCCAAGTCTGGAGGAGCCATAAAAGACTGCCAGGCCCCTGGAATGCCAGTGTTGGGTATTTTATGAACCTATGGAGACAAATTAGGGACTCTTGACAACTGCTGTTTATTTCATGGATTTTTCAGAAAGTCCCAATTTTCTGCTGAGTTTAGCAGGGTTAATTAAAGGGGATGGTTGTGAAATCATCATGATTTGTGTGGTGGTGTCTTTACAACACATTCTGTATAAGTCACCCTGTTGAACTAGGACTTTCAGATTTGACTTTTAGGGCCCCCTTCCTTCTCTAAGCTTAGAATTCCTGGGCAGAAACTGGGCTAATAACTGAGAGCTCTCTGAAGAAAACTTATTTGAGACCCCCTTTTCCTGGCCACCTAGGTCTTTCAGACAAATTTCTCCACCAATCAGGAAAATCACCAAGCACTAGGCTCACTTACGAGAGTATTTACCCTGTGTGGGCTTCTTGAAGACTTACTCAATACAAGTAAAGGTAGGTAATTAATTCTAATTTGAGTTTGGAGGGACCACTGACTCCTGAAGCCTGCGTTACACCCACTCTGACCTTAGTGATGGACATGTCACTCTGAACCCAAGCTGGGTTCAGAACTGCACGAGAGCTGCTTACCATGCACCTGGGGAAAGCTGTCTGGGGAAAAGTCAGGAGCCTCCAGAGGACAGGTGTGGGGAGGAGACCCCTCTCCTCCCACAGGGCTGCTGAGAAATCCACTGACCTCCTATTCATCAGCAGTCCATATGGTTTGCCATTTCACTAGACTGGCCTGCCCTTCCTTCACCCATGAGCATTCTGACAGTTTAGTCTATGCATGCATCTGATTGATAGCTAGGCTGTTGCCTTTCTTTCTGAAGGTCTAGACACAGTGAAATGATCTGACATTTTGACATCTAGAAAACAGAAGTGACATTTGTGCGCTTAACCTCACACATCATTTGCTCAAGGTGCATTTTTAAAGCAAAAGGTAACATGAATTATTCCTGAGCTACTCAGATTTTCCCCCTCCTATAACAGTAATGTGATCATTATGAAAAAGGAACAGGCGAAACTGATAAAGTCTCCTCATAGTTCTACCAGTAAAGCAAATTGCTGCTACTAATGTATTTTTTTGGTCCTTTTTAATTCACAGGTTTTATATTTTTGTTTTACATGATGTGCTCATACTGTGTGTATGGGATAATATTTGGCTTTTTAATTTAACATTTTATCATAAAAGTTGCCCATGTTAGTATGTCATCTTTGTAAGCATCCTTTTAATTCTTGCATAACCGTCTACTGAGAGACAGCTAGTGATCTGCTTTCCTAACATTGTATAGTTACACATTAAGATTGCTGCCAATATTTCCATGAGAGAAATGAGGCTGTAATGAGCTTCAATTTACAATTTTTTAAGGTTCAGAATATTTACAATTTTTTAAGGTTCAGAATATTGCTTCACACTAGATCAGCAGGAGACAATATTACTAGATCAAATGATGCTACTATTTGAAGGTCTTAGATGTTTAAAGAAAATAACAGAATTTTATTTTGTTAGGCAAAGACCTAACAGTGAAAATACGATAAATGCAGACAGTAATCCTTATAAAACAAGCATACACAAATTTTTAAAAAAGAAACAAAAAAACTACCTATGACCCAACTGAATAAGTGAATGACACAAGCTGTAAGATACAAAACTCACAGTTGCAAAATGGTTATGCAGAAAAATGTTCAGCCTTATGAGCAATTTAAGAAATGCAAGTTGAAACAAGATACTATGTAATTGCATTTATATGACATTTTTGAAAAGACAAAGCTGTGTGCAGAAAAAAGTCAGTGGTTAATAGAGGTAGGGGTAGTGGACAGGGTCTGATTATAAAGGGATAGCATGAGCAAGTTTTAGGGGAAGACTGAGCTCTTGCAGAACCCGTTGTGGAGTGGCAGGGCTCACAGAGACCGAGACTTAACTTGCCAGAATTGTACACAAAAAACAAGTCAGTTTTACCATGTGATAATTTAAAAACCAGTATCAAGAAATACCCTGTTGGCATTCCAAGGCATGGATTTTGTTAAATTAAAATCTAAAGTAATCAAGAGTAGCCTCAACTTACTAAAGGAAACTGGTTAGAGCCTTGAAAAAAATACAGCTTTTAATCTATAGTATTTACATTCTTTTGAAATTTTGCATTTTGGTGCAAGTAGTTAGCAAATAACATTAGAATTTGATAATGCATTTTCTTTGAGGATCCATTGATATTCAACTCTTAAACTACAATAACAAACAGTTAAAATATTTAAAATATAAAACAATATTTCATTTACCCTTGCAATTAGCAAATATTTTTGAAATGCTCTTACTTAACACTGGTGAGGACAATGTGAACCACAGACTTTTATACAATGCTATTGTGAATGTAAATTTCCACAATCCCGAGTGTGTGGGTGTGTGTGTAAATCTCAAGAGCCAGGAAGACACGTAATAAGCACAGAAGGATGAAATTAACCTGAAAGATTTTTGTGGGCTGGCCTTCTGTGCTCACAGGGGATGGATGGTGAGGGCTGAGGGGGATTTCCCTGGGTGCTAAAATAGAAAGGGGAATTACTCCTGTACAAAAATAAACTCACTGGATCAGCAGCCATCAGGACTGCCCTCCCTGACTGTGGCGTGTAAATGTCATCAATCTCTTCTTCCCTTGCCATTCACAGAGGTCTCACCCTTACAACACACAAGGTTTGCATAAGACCGGCCAGGCTACTCTTAGCAGCGCAGGGGTCACATCTCTCTAGAGACGCTGGCTGGGTTCGGCAACAAAATCCACACTCAGTTCTTTCCAGGACAGCTCCTGGGACCCTCCGCCTGCCAGAGCCAAGGGAACTCACTGTCCTGCCTCTTGCACCTGCCCCTTTATTTGACCAGCTCAGTGACAGGTGCCATGACTCTCAGGTTTCCCTCAGGTGCCCCAACCGACTTGCTTCTCTCCTTCCCTACCTCTTCTCCCTCCTTCCCTGCCGCCTCACGCAATCCCATGTCATCTCGTTAGAGGCTTCTCAGCAGCTTACCCTGTCTCTAGCCGGCCCGCACCACCTCTCACAGCCAAACGTCTGCAGCTGCAGCCAAAGGCTCTTCTTAGGATTGCACGGAACTATTGCCCTTTTTGCTGTTTCACAGCCTGAGGCTTTTAAGTGGCACGGCTCCCTCCCCCTGAACCCCTTCCTCTTTCACTCCATCCTTCATCTGCCCCCTGCTACTCCTCATCTTTCAAGTTCCTGCTCAGTCTCCATCTCCTCTTTGAAGCCCTTTCCCCTGCCCCTCCTCCTTCCAACGCATCCTGGTGGGATTTACTCCGCCCTCCTGGCCCCCACAGCTCCCTGGGTACACTGAGACACACCTGTCACATGTATTGCCTTACCTCTGCCATTTCAAAAGTCTCAGTGGGGTAGATCCTGTCACCCCTATTCTTTGCCTTTGTCTCCAGCTCTCAACCCCCAAATTCGGGGGACATGAAAGAGCTCCACCAGGATTTCTCCAGCTTATTCGTCGTGGTAACACATATACTTCAAAGAGCAGTGTGACTCAAACTGGTTTCACCTGCAATATATCTAGCAAAAGTCCTCCAGAGTGAGTACATGTGGGTGTCTTACTTACAAGACCCTAGCTGTGTTAAAGGGTTTCCCTACTGTCACATTCCTTTGGACATTTCAGTCATCTTTGTGGGGCTGGGGAGGAGACCAAATGCTGGTGCTCACACGGCCATACTTCCCTTTAACATTCTATTAGATTTATTGGTTCACATTGGTCTTCCCAAGAGAGCGCAGGGTCTGAGAGCAGGGCCTTGTCTTAATCATCTAGGTACCTCCAGGGCTGATCCCTGTCTGATGTGCAGCAGATGCTCAAATGTATTTTTGCAAAGGAACTTAATGTTTTTTCA